AGACCAGTAGACTACTGAGCCACAAAGACCAGTAGACTACAGAGCCAGAAAGACGGCGCACTGTTTCACTCATACCATTTTGGTTCTGTTATAATGTTTCGCAGCAGAAAGAAGCATCGGGGGGGAGGGGGTGTTGGCTTCAACCCCCTCGTTTCACCCACGAAACGTCCACGTCCACGAGACGTCCACGTCCACGTCCAACGGTCCATCTGCTAATTTGAACAAAATAAAACGTGTCACCGTCTCAAAGCAGCTTCGCTCGTCGTTGAACTGCTGAGTCTCCCAACACGATGATTTTGTCAGAAACATCTCAACTTGGTGCCAGAAGAGCCTCTGGACGCCGCACAGCTGCTGCAGCTTTGGCACCTGATCACAGTTCATGTAAACAAACAGCTAAAGGACGGTGGTGCAGCGGTTTATAACGAGCGTTCACTCGAGCCGCTAGCTCATCAGCTGCGTCAGAATTCAACCATTTCTCCACAGTGAGAGCTTCATAGATTATTAGTTTTTTGATTTTTAACACGTTCCCACTTCATCATGGCCAAACTAATCTCATAAAGCTGAAACGTAAAGAGCCACTTTTTAAAACCATGTTTTTCTTGGACCTTATTGCATCGGCCCTCTCAGTCCTTCTCGCACGCATTCAGTCATCCAGTTTGTAAATTCACTAACCGGCCAGCTTTCTGCTGGTGGCCTACAACACTGAGGGGGGTGTGGGGGGGCGGCAGCCCATGGCTTTAGCCTCACAGCACCAACATCTGCCGACCGTCTTCACGTTGGAGTTCAGCCCTCAGGATTTGGGAATTCAGAATCCAGTCTGGAAACAACGATCAAGTCTGAAGAAGTTTCCTGTTTTGATGGAATGAAAGTGAAAGGAGGGGGGGGGGGGGGGGGGGGGGGGGGGGGGGGTCAACATTCTACAAGTTTCAAATTGTTCCGCGTGGTGTGTCTCCAACGGTCAAACTGAGATGTCAGGGACGACTGACTTCAGGACGGTAGACCTTTAAGCAAGGCACTTAATCCAGACCACTTTGTGTAAAGTGGCACACGAGAGGCAGCCAAAAGTTCTTCCCTGATAAATGGGGGGGGGGGGTCGAACCGAACCAGCAAGTTCACTTCATCCCTTTCCTCCCGACAGAGCTGCTGGAAGGTCATGACGAGTCGGTGCAGGGGGAGGGAGGAGGGGGGCACAGGTGGAAATAGGATCGTTCGGTAGACGGGGACGGGGGGCAGCTTTCTTCAGCTGACATGTACTGGGAGCGGGGGGTGGGAGGGGGCGGGTACGGGTCGGAATCAGAGTTGAGGTCCATGTAGTACTTGTTGGGTTTTCCGTGGCCGGCGTGGCCCGAAGCCTTCCAGCGACCCGTCGACGACAGCAAGCTGGCCGGCGGATGGTGGGGGGTGTAGTCGCTGTCGCAGACGTCCGTGCTGCAGGGGGTGGTGGGCGGCGCGGCGCCACGAACCGAGTGGTAGGGTCTGATGGGTAAACACAGAGACAGGTCCATTTAGAGATGCAGGATTTATAATGTTCCACCTAATCATCCAAGATCAACTCCTCATGTGCTCAGAGGGCGCAGGCAGCATCACCGTCAGCTACTACCACACAACTTTAGCTGTAAAATCACTGTCAGCTAC